GCTTAGAATAAATAGGGGTAATTTAGTAATTTTACGCTGTTATTTTAGAAAATAATCTGTCATAGGGAACCCGAAAGGGGCGCTGTGGGGTGCTAACACCTTCCCCACGCGTAACCGACTCCCTTACCCGACTCTGGTTGTAATGGCCAAAGTTGATTTATAAAATCAATTGCCTTATCCCTTTTTCCAATGTTTTGAGTAAAACATTGGTGGCGACTCCACGAACCCTCCTTTTACGAAAACCACTAATCCATGGAGGGTCCCGCTTGGGATTAATATGGATTGGTGAGACGTTTTAATAAATAAATTGGATAGGATCGACAAGGTCTCAGTTTGAGAACAAGTCGTTCTAATAATCCAATACATTTTCAAAACTAAAAATAATAAGCGAGCTCGACCGTCTTCGCGACCGCCGAGGCCCGTTCGGGCCGGTGGCGACATACACTTGACACTTTACACTCATTTTTTAGAATTTAAAGTTGTTTCTTCTACAAGTTTCTCTAAATTATTTCTTCTCTCTCTTGGAATTTTCTCTTTACATTTTTCTACACAAAAGAATTGTAGAGTCTTGATGAAGATGTGTGGCTAATCTATTCATCTGATTCGAGGCTTCATGAATTACGATAAAATTTAAGTTCTCATCAATCAATTATTACCGAACAAATTCTCTTCGTCTTCTTCTCCATTCTAGATCTATTTTCCATTTTCCATGATTATGAATTTTTTATTGGATTTAGATAAGATTTGGAGATTAATTTTGAATTTAGATCTAGACCTAAAATAACCTAAATCAATCGTTCACTGTTTTTCAATTTAAAGGAAATTGTGAAATTATAATTGCATTTCATGTTTTTATGAAATTCAATAGATCTACATTTAGATTATTCTCGTGTTGATTTAGGTTGATTGATTTTGGATTATAATTTGAAACATGAAAATTTTACCATAACAATGGAAACCCTAAATTGATGTAATTTCTTATTGAATTTTTCAGTTGAATTTTTTTTTCATGTTTGCAATAATCTAATTTCTCTTTGTTGTTCATAAAAATATTTTTTCTAATTGCATGATAATTTTGAATGCTATTGACTTTTGTCTTCGAGAAGAAATGACTTAGGTTTCTTATATTACAAATATTTGGAGGAAATCTAGTAATTTTTAATAATGATTCAGCATCGCTATCAACACACTCCAACATATGAAATCAAAGTTAGGCTCCAATGTTAGCCATTTCTATGTTTTAATTAGAAGTTGTATTGGCATTCTCAATTTTATGTTTGAACCACTTTGAGAATGTTCTATTATGTTTGTTGATCAATCATTTCTCAAGCATTTATGGATACTTTTTCTTCACAATGTCCTTGTGAGTATCTAGGTAATGTACAACTTCATTGAAGTCTTTCAGTATATACAAATGTGTTTTAACACTTCTCGTATGTAACTCATAATCTTTGCATTTCATAAACCCTTACAAATAATTCTTCCATGATAACCAGACTTAGGTACCCCCATAGCTTTAACTTCTAATAAGTATTCATTACAAAACTTAATAGATTTCTCTGCAATATATCTTTCAACAATGGATGCTATAGATGGTATTGATTCTCCATATACCCTTTCAATATCTTTATGTATCACTCAATAGGGTAAATCCATCATAAGAATGGACGAAAACACACCTTCATTTGATGCCAGATAAGAATGACTTCATTCTCTAAGTCATCCAAGTTTTGAGGATTAACCACTTTACTAAACATTACATTAAAGAAAAACAATCTAATTATGTCATATCTAACATTCTTAGGCAATATCTCTCAAATCATCATTGGTAGCAAATTTTGTGTCGAGATGTGACAATCATGAGACTTTAAACCTAGTAATTTAATATTTTTCATTAATACAAGCTTCTTGACATTGGAAGAATAACCTTGTGGAAACCTTCACGTCCCGTAAACACTCATAAAAACTTTTCTTTTCTTTTTTAAACAACATATGACATGTTAGGGACAAAAATGCCTATTTATCATAAAATTACGGAGCTAATTGTTCTCTTATACGTATCTCAACCAAATCTAAACAAACATTTACACCATCCTTTGTCTTCCCTTGAATGTTAAGAAGAATTCCAATAAGATCGTCACACACATTTTAATCCACATGTATGACATCTTTGCAATGTCTTAGATCAAGCATCTTCCAATATGCAAGATAAAAGAATATTGACATTTTCTTCCATATGTTTTTCTTAGTTGGTTGTTTTTCATTCTTTCTAAGTAACATAGTTAAATTCTTCACTCATTCATAAACTTTGTCACTAGTTAAG